GAACAATGGCTCTGTGTAGTTAATGCTGCTCAATGTGAAAGCCCGCAGGTGATGGAGATTTACCGCTGATTACAGAACCGGCTTTCTGATAAGATGCGCGTTAAACATCGCATGCGATTTATCGTGCAGCTCTAATATATATGTATGTATACATAGAGTTCTGGCATGAAACTCTAGATGGCGCAGTCCGATAGGTCTAACTCAATCTGACCTAATGACATCATTATCACATGGCTCAGCTGATTGGTTCTCTCCTGAATCGGTGCTCGCTGCTCAACATTCAAATATATGACTAATGATTGCCGTAGCAGTTGCAGCTTGCTTCAGAAACCCTCCACCTTCCCCAGCTCCACCTGTATAGATCTGCTACGAGGTGATTAATGTATGCTATATGGGGGTTATTCATATGTGTTATATGTGCAGCAGCAATATTTCTTACATGCTCACAGCAGCAGAGATTGTATCAGGTGTTTTAGTTTTATCATTAATGTTAGCTAATTTTGCATAAATTAGCTACATAAAAACAGAAACCAACACATTCTCACCTGTGAGATTTCACCCCAGTTTGTCCGTGGTCCATTAATAGCTCAGTGGTTATTTCAACCATAGGCTGCAGTGCACAATGCTGGGGCTTTTTCCAGGAAAATTCATTGATTTGTTAGTGTGAGTGATGAACTGCATTATGATATGTATATACGAATATGGGAATGATCCCCCCCCCCCCTCCTTTGATACAAAATCAGTTTCTTGTTTCTGGTTATTGTCTGACTATTATAGCTCTATATAATAACACTGTCTCTGAATCTTCTGAAGCTGTAAAGTGCTGTTGTGTTTGGTTGTTGCAGGTGTGTTCGTACTGTCACATGGTTGGTGCCACTTTGGGATGTTTCTTCAAAGATTGCCCAAATAAGTACCACTTCCCCTGTGCCCTGCAGTCAGGTAATGGCCATCAGTTCTCGTGAGACCATGCAGACTGAATCCAAAACTACAGTGTCAGTTTGGTTGAACAAAAAAACAAACAAATCTTTGTTTCAAGGCAGTGGCGAATGACAAATGCGTTTCAGGGCAGTGAGGTACAAAGGTACCTCCTGAAATTGATTTCGAACAGACTTCTGAGGCAGCATAACGGTCTAATGATCTACAATAAAATAAAGAGCACTTTGGTGATAACTAAGTGAAGATATAATTACTATAATGCTCATTTTAGCAAAAAAGGCCATCAAATTAAAAAAAAATTTTTTTTTCAAAACATACATTGACGCACAAACTGACCACTAATCCCAACTTTAAGGCTGCATTTAATTGAAAAGCCCTATTGAGATTTTAGCCTCTTGTAAGGCCTCAGTTTGTTTCCCATTTCCGGCTGTTCTGGGGTTTCTCGCTCGTCTCCGTTTTGTTGCACTGATGCTTGTGTTCTTTTTCATGTCATCATCTTTGTCGAGGTGCTTATCTGTGCTGCTGTGTCTCCACACAGACAGTGCGCTCAACGAGGAGAACCTAACGATAAGATGCCCGAAGCACAAGGTGACTCACAGATATTGATTTAGCTGGAGTTTCTCCGAAACAATGAGTTTAAGTTATGAAAATGACACGAGTTTGCAGCATAATAGACTGGGTTTCTCAGCTTTATTGTCCTCCTCTTGCATCATCTTCACTGCTGATAATGATCACTCATGTTTTTTTTTGTGTTTTCAGAATAAAACATCCAGAGTGAGCGTTAGCAGGCTGAAGAACAGATGACATTTGGAAGGTGCTGAAATGTCTTTGAAGGTATTTTACTGCACTACTCACACCTTTATTAAGCCTTAGACTTTTTATTTTGCCTTAGACATTTTTAATCCGAAGTATGACATTAGTTATGTTTTGTGTGCAGGCCTTATTAGGATCATTAATAATTTTTATTTATTTATTTATTTATTTTTCTGTGATATGACCTAGGCATGTTCTTGACAGGTTTCATGAGATTTTGTGAGTAGTAATCATACCATTCTGTCTCACTTAAATAACAGCATCTAAATTAAAAGTAATTAATTACTAGCTACTAATTACATCTAGTGTCACTATATTACTGTACTAATTACACTCTCTTTTAAAAATATTGAATTACTTATTACTAATGAATACTTTATAAATCCCATATCAATCAACCTCAACCAGTTACAGTACAATACATGGATAGACATGAAACGGCTCTTTTAATTCTTTCAAATAAATAATATAAAATTGCATAAATTATTCTCCAACTGACCAAAGTATTTGGTCACATTAAAAACATACGTTTTAACATCAGATGTTAATTTTTGTAACATTAAATCCACTGTTGTTTTATATAGAATCCTCTATAGTCTATACAGTATTTAATGTAATTACATCAAAAGTAACTGGATTCAAAAAATTCAGAGTAATCCCTTACTTTACATTTTTACTTTACAAGGGAAAAGTAATTGCATTACTTTAATTACTTAGTAATGCATTACACCCAATTCTCATTAACATAATGTGTGAAAAAAAATACTGTAGTGATAAAACAGTATATTATTAGAGGTATTCATTGTGTATTTGGTGTAATGAAATGTTTATGCAGTTTAAGGTTCAAAAAACATTATTTTCCACATACTGTACATTATTGTTTCTCCTCTATGCCCCGCCTTTCTGAAACGCGTCGATTTTTACAAAGCTCATCGGTCTGAAAATCGAGGTGTGCTCTGATTGGCCAGCTATCCAGTGAGTTGTGATTGGGTGCCGAATTCCTCAAGCGTGTGACGGAAATGTTACGCCCCTCACCATACTGTGATGCCTGCGGCAACCACATGTGACGACCCCGGGCTGGACTCCGCTTCGTCCACGGTGAAAGCCAATCCGGTGATCCACAGCACGAAGTTGTTGTATTTCCTCAGCGACCAGCACGGATCAGCTCCAGGCATGACGAAGCGGATATCATCCTCTTTTGGAAGACCAAAAGTAGTTTCGCTTTCACAACAAACACACAGCGTCTTCACGACATGGCGGCGGCAACAACAATACTACAGCGAGAATAAAAGCTACACCTTTCTTTGCGTGAACATTTGGGCGGCGTTATGCAAATCTTCCCACACAGTGATGTAGACATGTGGGGGCGTGTTAGAACGAGGTGTTTTAGGTAGACGTGGCTGACTCTGAACTTTTATAAAGAATATCTCTTTGGATTTGAGAATTTAGTCTTTGCAACTTTACAGATCTTCTTTATGCACCAAGAGCTTGTAACACTCCAAAGAGAAAGGAACAATTGAATCGCATCATATGACCCCTTTAAAAGGCACAATGCAAAAATTCTAAATACAATTTCATTTAATTTCTTTTGATTTTGTGCTTAAACATGACCCTGGCATGTACTGACGAGCTGCTGATCAGGTGTGTTTCATTAGGATCGGTTTGAAAATGTGTAGTATTGCTGTGTCTCCACAGGAACAGGTTTGGAAAACAGTGACATATCAGAGATATAACAACACTTCTCCTATAAGCCTGACGAAGGCCCCGATCACACCGAACGTGGTTTTTAGGTCTGAAAACGCGAGGCGCACCGCACTGCCTTTTTTTTTTTTTTTTTGGGATTCTTCAAAAAAAAAAAAAAAAAACAACAAACTACGATGATTCAAGTGTAGTTCTATAGAAAAGTTCTTTGGCGTAGGCCCTGCACTCTTTGTCCACATTCTGGGTCTGCAGATTCGGCTGGTCCTGCCTGAAGATGAAGGCAGGGGCGGAGCCTACCCCCGTTGGATGGACAGGGACCAACCTGGTGGTGGTGGAGAGGATGGAGGGGAACGTCAGCGTCATCAGCTGCAAACTTAAAAGAGAAAATTCAGTACTTATGAAGTGACGTGTGGCCAACTATGGCGTCCCATACTCTGAATTTGTGCTCTGCATTTAACCCATCCAAGTGCACACACACCCGGAGCAGTTGGGGGTTCGGTGCCTTGCTCAAGGGTCTCACCTCAGTCGTGGTATTGTGGAAGATGGAAGAGAGCGCTGTACATTCACTCCCCCCACCTACAATCCCTGCCAAAACTGAGACTCGAACCCGCGACCTTTGGGTTACAAGTCTGACTCTCTAACCATTAGTCAGAAGCTAGTGCAAGATCTGAGATGAAATGAAAGAAATCTGTTTTCCACTCCAGATATCCACTTTTCAAAACACAATGTACTATTTTTAAAACATTAAAATGATGAAATTTTGAATAGTCGACTAGTATTGCCAGACTGTAGTCAACTAGTCTCGCACATCCCTAATATTTCCATAGTACATTTCAAAAGAAGATTTCAATCTATCTGTTAGTTTGTCAGTTAGCAGTTTTGGTAGGTGCCATACAATTTTGTGGAAAAGCATCTTTTTTCATTCAAAAGTAGGAAATTGACTTAAAAATCATCCAATATAGCAAATGTAGCAAATGGCAACAGTAATTTCCTAACTCTTGAAATGTCAGGTTAATAGAGTGGAAAGGTTATGATGGCCTTATTTTTCAAGCACAGCTGGTAATATCTGATAGCGTTTTGACTAATCTGTCCTGCTTATCTCAAAGATTAACCGTGAGAAGATGAGAGAGCAAAAGAGATGAAACGCAGGATCTGTCACGCCTGCGTTGCTTTATGGCTGACTCCTGCAGCTAATGGCTGGATCTCTCTCTGCTCAGCTTCCCTTCACTCTGGGCGTTAACATTATCTCAGCACCCAGAAATCCAACAGTATCATTTGTTTTCTGTCTTCCTCGTAGTCTGGTAATCAAAGGTTTTCCAGATCATCCACACTTTGCATTTCTCTCCCTCAATCGCTAAGGATCTTTGCTCAACCTTATAAATTAATAAGGAGCAAACAGTCTATCAATGAGTTTGTCATGCAATATGTCAATATGATTTATATGCTGTTTAATGCTTGATGATTGCGTTACTTTACATATGCATCTGCTTACCTATGCATTGCTTGTTTCTGCTTCTTCTTCACCCTGTTTTGATCCAGAGATTCTTTACTCTTTCAGAAGATGTGTAATAGCACCCTCTACCATATAACAGTGAAAACACGGAAAGGAAATTCTGTTAATGGCGGGGAAGAGTTGTTCATAAATGACAGAACATTCACCACAAGTGCAAATTCAGTGCACTTAAGCACACTTCTTTTCTCAAGGGAAGGTAGTTTCGTGTTTCCACGGCAACGGGAAACAGAAACTAGATTCGGATATTTTCTGCTTAGTATATAACTGATGATCACACAAATCAGCATGCTTCACCATGTGTTCGGTGTGAATCACTTTAAAAGCCATATGCTATCGCACATAAATAGTTTACATCACTGTCTGATGAATAGCGCTGGCCACCGGCAAACTGCACTGGAATTTAGCCTTTTGCGAGCTTTAAAGGGGTCATATGATGCGATTTTACATTTTTTTTCCCTTTCTCTTTGGAGTATTACAAGCTCGTGGTGCATAAAGAAGATCTGTAAAGTTGCAAAGACTAAAGTCTCAAATCCAAAGAGATTCTTTATAAAAGTTAAGACTTGTCCACACCTACCTAAAACGCCTCGTTTAAACACGCCCCCACATACCTACATCACTGTGTGGGAAGATTTGCATAACACCACCCAAATGTTCACTTTTAACTTTTATTCTCGCTGTTGTATTGTTGTTGCCGCCGCCGCCATGTTGTGGAGACGCTGTGTGTTTCGTTGTGAAAGCAAAACTACTTTGTTTGGTCTTCCAAAAGAAGACGATATCCACTTCGTCATGCCTGGAGCTGATCCATGCTGGTCGCTGAGGAAATACATAAACTTCGCTGTGGATCACCGGATCGGCTTTCACCGTGGACGAAGCGGAGTCCAGCCCGGGGTCGTCACATGTGGTTGCCGCAAGCCCGCCGGCCGCTCCTTTGTCGAAACCGCCTGCCACCACTCACTCTAGCCCGCAGTGTGTGATGCTGTGTGACGCATTTTATGGAGGACTGTTTCCTGAACCTGCAGAGTAGCCTACAATGGGTCTGTGCTCAAAGGCTGTTCTATAAAGTGGGGCAGTTCCAATGGTTTTATATTTACGCGGCGCAATACGCAACGCAACGCGTAAAAACACAGTATAAGTCATTATAATCAGTAATTATGTCCCCACTGGATGCAACAAATGCCTCGTTTATAATGGGTTTTAATGTTTTTGTCTCGTCGTGCCGGGAGACAGCATCACAGTATGGTAAGGGGCGTAACATTTCCGTCACACGCTTGAGGTATTCGGCCAATCACAACGCACTGGATAGCTGGCCAATCAGAGCACACCTCGCTTTTCAGAACGATGAGCTTTGTAAAAATCAACGTGTTTCAGAAAGGCGGGGCATAGCGGATAAACAATAATATACAGTATGTGGAAAATAATGTGTTTTTTTTACCTTAAACCGCATAAACACATTGCATTACACCAAATACACAACATAATGTTATTTTTAGCAGCATCATAGACCCCTTTAAAAGAGGCTGACGTTGAGATCTTGGAGTTCCGTTTTGAGCTTTAAGCATTAAAATACAATCAGATGAATATAGATCAAGCTGTTCTTTCTGTCCTGACCGTCTGTACCAGGCTGTATTTCACTACCTCCCACTGCTAGATGGTCGACAGTGAACCTGATCTCCTATTCTTATCCATATAAATCCTCCTTGTGCAAGAACAGCCACTGAGTCACCTCTCTAGATATCCAAAAAAGCACCACAGGGTTGTGATTTTAGCGATATCGTCTTGCGAAACCGTGTTTGACTCTGAGGTGTGAAAGAGGAGGGATGGTAATAAGGTGGGAGTTTGATACATACTCTCCTTATCCAGCATGAATTGTGGGAACAAAATGTACAACATAGCAGTGCTTCTGTCTTCCAGTCTGAGC